TATTTATGTGGACGCAATTCAACCGGGCACATGTTTAGCGATTAAATTGAACAAATTCAGTTAATAAACCATAATTTCAATTCTTGCATTTGAAAAACTAACTCAAAGCACTGGCAGGCAGTGCGTGCCTATCTACAGGTAAAACACATACAGAGTTTAGCTCTGTTTTTCATCAAAACGACATGCGCCGTTTGCGGCACACCTACATTCTCAACTTCAGCACTCCTGGCTCTCTTGGTTATTCCTTCTGAGGTTTGGTATGATAAACCACACCAAGTGAGCAACCTGTCTCGGTGAATTACAACGCTTGAACATGATTAGTTACTGTCTTTAATATAGTTATTATTAGGGACCAATGAAGTGCATCATAAACTTTCACCCGTTTCTGCCAGTCTAAATCCCGTGAAAATCAGATCCGAAACGTACTGTTTTTTTTAAATTTTCCTCCTGTATGGATTGATTCACATTGCTAATTCAAGTTATTTTCTGTCAAGTTTAAAGATAAAAGCTTTGCCTAAAATAATTGCTTGCCGTTGCGTTGCGAGCTTCCGTGCATATTCTACAGTACAGTTCAGAATTCCTGCAACATGGCGACCATGGCAAAAGATTGATACCCTCTCGATAAACGCACATTGAGTAATGTCGTGATACTAGTTAACGTGTAGCCTATTGTCAAATAATGTCAGTCAAAATTGGATGCCGTCTTCTTACCGATTTTCTTCCCGACTGCAAACGCGTGTGCAGTGGAAAAAAAGCTATTTGAGTAGCATCTATTTTTATTATTTATTTTGATTGCCTTAATAAATTAGAATGTATTTAATGAAAAACGTGAAACAAAAAAAATCTTTTTTTCTAATCGTAACGCGGAAACATACGCCCTCTTTAAATTTATGCCTAAAAAAGGGGACCGTTCGATTTTAGATACATTTCTAATTATAATATTTCATACGATTATTTAGTGTTTGTGTTTATAACACCGTAGTGATGCCTATAACATATAAAGCACGGTCCAAATCTATTGAAACATTTTACGAGAGCTATGTGACATCTTCATTAGACCCTTAGCAAAGGCGAACATTGCCTCAAACAAGATGAACACAGTGCGTAACTTGTGTACCTAGAATTTAGATGCAGTAGTGACGGTAGCGTCCGAAAGAGCGTGTATCCAAAAAAACCTGGTCTGGAAAATACGCGAATTTTAACTGTTTCGTACCCCTTCAATAGAAGCGAAATCTAGTTCGATGCTTGGTGCTTCGGGCTAGAAAGTATTTTTCAGCAAACAGTATTGTGGAGTAGTTCAAGAAAATAGAGAACCTTCTTCGTGAGGACGGGAATCCTGACAGATGTATAACAAGAAATATGGCTAAGAAACAATGAAAACCACCGCACTTACTGTAGAAAAGAAAACATTATTCCTTAAAGTCCCGTTTCGAGGGGACACAGAAAGTGAACTACTGAAATGATGTGTTGACTAAGCCGTTGCAAGAACCATCCCATCAGCCGGAGTTTAGGTATACTTCTTAACTAATCCAACCTTACATGGGAAAGGTAAGGATAGGTTACCATCTCAGACCACCTCAATGTGCATCTACTCTTTCACTTGATCCTGTGAGCAGGTTATATTGGTCGCACGAGACGGCGCCTATCTAAAAGAATTAAGGAACACCTCCCGGCATGGCTGCAAAAACGTGAATTCAGGAGCATACACTGCAATATTCTGGCGCATATGGTTGATTGCGGATATGGGATGTACCCCAGCGAACATTTCCGAGTAATCTACAGGGTCCCACCAAATTATCCGAAGTCCCTGGGTCAGCGCCGGCTAGCCATCGATATCAAGCTGAGGAAGCACGTGTTGTGTGCACAAAAGAACTTCTTAAAAGCCGCACAGATGGCGTGGCCTCCAGTCACTTAGCCGCATGCAGTCTCCCTTCTCCCCGTGACTGTTCCATTAAACCCTACCCTCACAACCAGCCTTCACTTTTCGATCCCATCCTCATGCCCACGACTAGCTTGTGTGAAAAGACGAACACGTTTGAACTTGCACCCAGTTTCCATATAAATGTAAGGTCTGACGAGAATTTGTCGCAAGTACACGTATACTCGCTAAACTAGACTTCTGAATTAAGAACTATTTTTAAATTCGAAAGTAAAGCGTAATTTGCTAGTAACCAAGTAAATAATATTATTTTTATGCATATTTTTTAAAAAAACAGGTTGTCTCAAAAAATGTATACACACTTTGAACAGTTGTAACTTTGAGGTTTATTATAATTTTATTATTTAAAAAATGCAAAAGTATTAAGAAGTATCATGGTATTGTTAATCCACTGAACTTTTACTAAATTTTGCATATGCAACGCTATACAATGATCATTAAAAGAACCCTATTCAATTCAGATTAGCGAGTGAGTATCAATCTTTAAAAACATGTCGGCACGGAACTCATACTGTAAAATTACAGCCAACATCGTAGAACCATTTAAATGATAGTGTCCACGCCCTCTCCGTGCCTACCCAGCGTGCAAAATTAATGTCCACGGCCGCCTTAAATATGTTGCAGTTGCAACAACTCATCTTCATTTGCGCGGAATAGGAGTCTTGTAACTAAAATGATCTCATTTACCAGCTACTGACGGATACTGCTCAAATATCAGTTTGCCAAAGGACGAGACCATCGTTCATGGGGTTTTATATTTAGTTTACGTGCACAACTTGTCCAATGAACACTGGGCCTACTAGCAGTGGATATGGTCGTGGACGTTGCAGCCTAAGGCTGTTATGCGCTTGGTAAAAAACATTCTTCGTAAAATGCAGGGAAAGCATTTTTTTCAGTGCCCCATCTGAATTTGAGCATAAGCCGGTATAATAAAAGTTAGAAGATATGTCCTCACATGACCTTCCGTGATGCTAAATCATAATAAGTAGACTTGCGTATAATGTTCACTTACCACTGGGCTTACTAGGAGTGGACACGGGGGTGGACGCCGTGGACTCAGTGACTGGTGCTGAAAGAAGAAAAACATCTTAGTACCGCAAATGCCAGACCTTCAAACTGTCATAAGCTTTGCGAATATTTCTTCGTAATGTTGAGAATAAGTTTTTCATCGGAAGGCAAACATTGCATAATTTCTAAAAGATATGGTGAATTAAGAGGTACGCACATTCAAGATGAATCAGCATTTAGGTTGAAGTGAGGTAATCAGTGATATGTCTTGCGACAGTGAAATTGACGGAATCTAGTTAAGAAGTCATACTTCTACTACAAACAAAGCTCCAAAATAAAATGCCGTGACAGTTAGGAACAGTATTTTCATGTAACATATATGACTGGAATTAGCGTATGCTTTCGTTGGATGATTGTCTATAGCACTGCAACAATACAACCTCATTCGCAAACGACACAGATAATCAGCTTTGTATCCACTGGCCCTAAACTCAGCTTGAGCGCGTCAGCCCGTTGCAACAGTAATCCCAGCGCAGCGGCTACTTTGTGTACATATAAGCACTCCACCTGTATGTCCGTGATGCGGCAGCGCTTTGGGTATAATGTAAGGTTTTCGACACAAGGAACACCCTAATCCTTAGCAGAATTCACAAGACGGCTGCTTAAATTTCTGCGCCTGTCATACACTGTCCCATGTTACGTATAATTTCCTGAATACGTGTTATCTAACGCCCATAACACTCATTTGACCTTCGTCATTCGTTCACATTTTATTGTCATTTAATGTGGCCATGTTTGAAAACGCGTGGCTCGAAAGGGTTTTAATTTGCTCTGTGGAATTTAATTGATTTATTCAGTTCCTGGTTGATTTTGCTTTCAGTTATCCATCAGTGTGGTTCCTGTTATTATTTCGTTCTGGATCAATGATTACCTACACTCGTTAAGAACCACAAAGTGCGCAAGTAAGCGATGTAATTAGTTGAGTGCCCTTTGAGACGCATTAACATGCTGGACTTCAGCGCTGCTCGCTCTGCTACCTACGTTCTTCTGGATTTTGTCTGATAAAGTGCACCATGCTATCAACTTGCTTCGGCAACTAGTGCCACGTCAAGCTGCTTAGTCACTATGATCGATAGAGTGATGACCAGGGACCGCTCAAGTGCAATATACACTTGCACCTAAATACAACTAGTCAAAATCACTTAGTCGGTGGATTCGCTGATATCACAAACCACCATTCATTTCAATGTGTTCCAGTGGCAAACCAGATGATTTGGAGATGATCGGCGCTCTATTTTGGCACTCTGGTGTTGATGTTTAAGGTCGTGATAGTACAGTCGTCCCTTGCTGATGTCACCCTCCGCCCTCTACAGTGTCGAACGCGAGCATCGCATGAAGTCTACCCGGGATTAACATTTAAACGTACTAAAGTCCAGCATAGGACTAACTCGTTAGATAATGTACACATTTATCTTCTTTTACTTTGTTATTCTTTATTCATCTATAAGGGCATAATAAGTAAGCACCCAACTGTCGAGTTTGAAATCATATTTAACCTGACCATTTTTTTTGTCCTCACAATATTCAGCTTCAGTTGCTTTTTGAATACATAAAGAGTATGCTTATTAATTTTGGAGGCCGTGATCTAAAATGACCATAGTACAATTGTTAGTATATAATCATCATGTGAGACAAAGCACCAATGTTTTGGTTTACCAAAGTCTTCTATAGAAAACTTGAGATGACTTTACTACTAATGGTTGACATTCAAGCGGGCTGCAAACCTTTAATACTTGCATTAGATTTGATCTTATATAAGTTTTACACAACCCATGTCGTTACACTAAACGACTGCTTTTCGTCGGGTGGCAAGATCTGCATAATACATGAAAGATAAAATGGCTAAAGTAGTACTTCCGTCCGCGAACAATTAGCATGCAGGTTGATGTGGGACAACCGGACGTCTGTCTGGCAATAGTCTTATGAACGGATTATGTAAATAAAACATACTTAAGCAGTTAAAAGTAGCAATTAGTAGACAACCGTTAAATGTCTACTCAAGAGTGGGTTTATTTTCAGTGGACACAATCGTAGAGGTCGTGGTGTCACTTGCTGGACCTGAAAGAACAGGAAAATGCTAATACCGCGAACTGTTGTAATTCTGACCCAACGCGATTTATAAAATTGGTAAAAGAGTTTTCATCGCGAGGAAAAATCACAGAATTACTGAAAGGTAAAATGAATCAGCATTTATGACGTAAGGTAATATGCGGCTATGCGGCTCAACCGAGATTGGCAAGCCATTCATGCGAACGTAAAGATAGGCAATTATCGAAAACCACGAGCTTAAATATTCACTGTTTGAAAATGGATAGACGAGGTACTTAGACGAAATGCCTGATATTAGATAAATATCGTGTGAACGTTCTTTTGCTCTTTCTGACAGTACTGAGTACACTTTTTTTCTGGACAGACAACTGCATACGTATCTCCCTAAAATATTCGTCAGCTATACAACACGGAGTTCTGCCAGCCTCAAGGTCCCACACATAATTCACAGAAATAAATAAATAAGTTTCGAAACGCAGTAGATAGCGTAAAATATGTGACGTGTTCTTTGATTTTATTTACCTTTGTCCAGCGTTGTTACATGTTCTGCAGATGACTCCAGGCTACAGTTCGTATCAACGCAGGCCGTAGCAGTAATTGCGTAATTGGTTAAGGGTTCCAGTTGCTCAATGTAACAGCCAGCCTCTTGGTTGCTGGCTTTGACGGAGCAATCCCTTGGGATTCCGTTTCCGTCCGTCGCCTTAGCATTGAACTCGACATCGAAATCAACGGCACCTTCCATTGGTTCAAACTTTACCCAGATCCAGTTGCCACCAAAATCAGCGATAGTTATCTTTGGCGCTGTTTGGAATAAAAACTTTACATTATTCTTCGCAAATGAAAAGCAAAGATATCATTTTAATAGCTTCGATTAATGTCTTCAAATTAAGAACTACAAAGTAAAATTGACAAGCTGCTGTCAGCTGAACATTGTCACAACCAATAAAAAAACTTCACTTGATCGTCATGCAAAACAAATTAATGCTGAAACAATCTTTGGGACAGACAAAAAATAAATGTCATACACCAGAATCCACGTTTCGTTAATTGTTTTTTAGCCCCACAAACGGGGCTATTGTGATCTATAATAAGTTGTATTAGAAAGCATCATTCCCTGAAACCACACTAACTTATTATGAGAATAAGAATTTCTTTGGGAATGTTTTTTTCAATTTTATTGCGTAAATGTTCGACACAGACCCACCGGTGTCGTTAGACGTAGAAAAATTAAGCTTAATTGAGCTTAATTTCAAAAAAATGTAAATCGCAAATTATTCACGATTTTCCCTAGATTTCCATTAACTGGGTGTGAACTTTTTTAATTTGCATATAGTAACGTTGGTAAATATAATACTCCCATCAATTTCAATGATCCAACAATGTATAACTAAGTGGCTGTATATATAAAGAGTCTCGTGTAAGGTTAAAAATATTGTAAGACTTTATTTTGTACTCTGATTAGA